ACACACACACACACACACACACACACACACACACACACACACACACTATATCTTTTTATTGGAAGAAAGCTATGTATATAGGAAGGACAGTTTAGTCTAGGCCTGGTGGTGCATGCCTATAATTCAGCAATTGTGAAGCTGAGAGGTAGAGCAAGCCTACAACTTCCCCCTCCATAAACAGATGGACAATTCAAACTCCGTTCATAGTCTTCGATGCAGGGAAGAGGGGATAAGATGCTGTGTAAGCTTAAATATCCAGGCTCTTTTCTCATCAGACTGTGACTCAGGCTCACGGTGCTGTCCCTGCTCACCACAGCCAGAGTCCCATTTTCCAATGAGTTTGAATACTATAACATCTTTGCTAGGCCCCTTTCAGTTCTGTTGTATTCAGTCTTCTTGAATCATACTGTCTTCTCATTTCATATCAAGATCGCAGCATATAATATGTTTACACCTATGTGCAAAACACAGATGGAACGTTTGATCATAATCAGTATACGTGTTGGACATTCTTGCTTTGAATTTGCTTTAGTCTTCTTCCTTTTCCAATTTTGACCAGTAGGGACAAATGTCCTCAAAGTCTGTCACGTTTGTACTGATTCTTGCTATTCTTGCTGTTTGGCCATAGTGATGGCCAGGCTGTCAGATGTGGCAGTGAATTACATGGGAAAGTGTATCTGCTGCATTGCAGACCTGCACACAATTGCATTTCATTTTCTTAATGACACTTACCAAGACAGTTTCAGCTCCATCCTCCCTCCATCATCGGAGAGATTCATCAATCCTCTTGACATTGCTTCTTTCAAGTTACATCCATGGCATGAGGAAGCATCTCCAACTAGGATTTCACAGATTCTGAACAACTAAATATTTGTGGTTAATGTGTTACTAGGTTTTTCTTTCTTGTTAGATAAAACCATGTGTATACTATTCTTCTTTAGTTACTTTCCAGAGGAAACAATGACTTTTGTGAAGTGTTCTTGCTTTGAGATAAGATTATTATTATTTCATTGAGATGACCTGTCAACCTCATCTCTGGAGGAAGAGAAAGGTAATGAGCATCACAGTTTGGCTTTCTCAAATTTCCCCCAACCTTCAGACCGCCATGAAAGTATCTCTGGACCATGTTATCATACAGACTGGTAGCAGGTGATAGTATATTTTCTTGAGTGAAATGTGGATTGTCTAATTTTAATATGTTAGTTTTACAAGAATGACCCCAGAGTAGAACTTCAGCCCATGGCATATGATCCCACAAGTTGGTTTTCAGTTATGCAGGCCAGAAGTTTAGGTTTATAGGAGTCATGGGAACAGACATGAGGTCAGAGCTAATCAGGGGCAGACATGCACAGGACAGGGGTTTCAAACCTCAGGTCTCTGGGAAGGGAATACGGTACCCAGGATTGCGGAGTCCAATAACTGGAATGGGACACAGGGAAGCAAAGATCAGAATGTAGCAGAGGAAAGTGAGGGCATCAGGGTGTGGAGAGTCAAACTTGACTGCTCTACTGACTACCACCCTCGGTAGCCCTGCTTTTAGTTTTGAAGACTGTAAATTGTTCTGTTGATTAAATTCAGCCATTGTTTTTATGCTGAATTAAAAATGTTATTGAAATTAATTTGATTGAAAGCTAACTGCTGCTGAAACACTCTACGCTGCATATGTGGATCCAAGGGTCTTGAACATGAGTAGTAGTGAGATATCAAACATATGAGAAAAAATCATATAAGTTGCAGTTAAAGAATTAAAGAATTCTTTAAATTTTATTAGTGACTTAAAATTAGACTAAGATTTATTTGATCTTGTCTAGCCCTTTATAGTTTAAGATTTTAATTATGCAAACAGGATTTTTTAAAATAACAAATAGATGTTTAAAACACAAGTTAGATATTAAACCATTAAGCTTATGTTGTTGTTGTGACTTCTGTAGTTCCTAGTCTACTAGTCCCTGTCTTTTTAAATAATGGATGGCCTGTGTCATTCTGGATCACCATCTTACCAATATGGTATCTTTGGTAGAGTTTGGAATGAGATTAGGACTGGGTTGAGAACTACCCATTCTTCACTTCCCCAGTGGCATTTCTCGTGCATCAGTTTATCCTGATTAGGAGACTGACCTCACAGAAATGAAGAAAATAGAGGGAGGGAAAAGAATGGTAAACAAAGAGAAATTATCACATGTCCTTTTTTGGGTGCAGTGAACTTTATTGATGGTATTCAAGAGAGTAGGGCTCTCTAAACCTCTCCTGCTGTTCTGGTGGTCTGGGATGGAAACTTTGAGGGAGATGCTCAGAGTCAAGCATAGAGTTAGGACAGGGATTGCTCAGCAGCTGAGGGCCTCTCTCGTGCTGTGTCTTTGCTGGGATGGGTGCTCCAGGGTGGGCTTCTTACTCCTTGGAGGCCATGTAGGCCATAAGGTCAACCACTCTGTTGTCATACCAGAAAATGAGCTTTACAAAGTTGTCATGGAGAGCAATGTCAGTCCCAGCATCAAAGGTGGAAGAGCAGGAGTCACTGTTAAAGTCACAGCAGACATTCTGGTCCTCAGTGTATCCCAGAATGGCTTTTAGTGGGCCCTCGGATGCTTGCTTCACCACTTTCTTGATGTCTTCATATGGTGTAGGAGGTCCTTCTTTGTACGTGTTGCTTGTATTAGTTAATGAATAAAGAAACTGCCTTGCCCTGATAGGCCAGAACTTAGGTAGGGAGAGAAGACAGAACTGAATTCTGGGAGAAAGAAAGCAGAGTCAGGAAGAAGCCATGGATCCTCCACTTGAGGGAGTTGCTGGTTAGAATCTTTCCTGGTAAGCCATTGCCATGTGGCGATATACAGATTAATAGAAATGGGTTAAGTCAAGATGTGAGAGTTGGCCAATAAGAGGCTAGAGATAATGGATCAAGCAGTGATTTAATTAATACAATTTCTGTGTGGTTATTTTGGGGCTAAGCTACCCAGGCAGTGGGGACGAACAAGCTCCTCCTTACAACATTCATACTTGGCAGCTTTCTCCAGATGGCATGTCAGATCCATGACAGACACATTGTGAGTAGGAACATGGAAGGCCATGACCATGAGCTTCCCGTTCAGCTCTGGGATGACTTTGCCCACTGCCTTGGCAGCGCCAGTGGATGCAGGGATGATGTTCTGGGGAGCTCCACAGCTATCTTGCCACAGCTTCCCAGAAGGGGCATCCACAGTCTTTTGGGTGGCAGTGATGGCATGGACTGTGGTCATGAGTCCTTCCATGATGCCACAGTTGTCATGGATGACCTTGGCCAAGGGGGCTAAGCAGTTGTTGGTGCAGGAAGCATTGCTGACAATCTTGAGGGAATTGTCATACTTGTGATGGTTCACGCCTATCATGAACATGGGGGCATCTGCAGAAGGTGTGGAGATGATGATCCTTTCAGCTCCACCCCTTTTGTTACCTTGAGAAGGTTAAAAACCGAGAAAAACATTTATCATCTCAAAAAGTGCAAGTTAAGCAAACTTCTGCAGCGAACCTTAATGCTGTTAAATCTGGCTGGAAGTTTGTCACCTGAGCCTGTTTCTTTCTGAAAGAACCAAGAACAGCTAGAGGTGTTAAAAAAAAAGTATGTGCCTACTTCCTTCCTGACCCACATGATAGATATATCTAAGATCTGAAAAATGTCAGACACCTGCCATTTAAAAGTCACATCTAAATATACTTGGTACCCCATAAGTAATCTTTTATTTTTAATTGTAATATTATTTATGAGTTTTCACTCACCAGGGATTTTATGTCAGTCTAAAAGTGATGGCACGAAGCCCAATACATTAGGAGAAAGACATGTGCTGATGAAATATGATCCTGCATGTCATCATTCTGCTGGTGTACATTAGGGAAGGGACATGAGGATGAAGTTGAGGGATGAGGCTTTGTGCTGCGCATTCTCGAATGATTCCTGTGAACACTAAGAAACTGAGAATAGATTTTTATCCATGTGAAACAGAAAATAATCAGAAAAACTCTGCCCATGGTGAGTGGGGGGGGGGGAGACCGTTCGCAAGGAATATACCAACAATACACACTCAAGTTAAAGCATGGAAATAAAGTAAAGCATGGAAAAATAATTTTCATAAGCTGCCTTTGAGAAAAACTGAACTGAAGATTGTCCCCAACTCAAGGGACTTCTAACCTTTTAGATCAAGCAGTCTGCTGATTGCAGTCTGTGCACGAAACATTGGTCTCTCAGGGTTCATCATGGTCACTGTGGGATGTTACATTCCTTTGGGAGTTCTACTTATATATCTCTGACAGTATCCAGTAGATTTCTTACATGTCTATATACTCATAATTACCTGACATTTAACTTTCAATAATGACTTTATTAAATCTGAGGTGACAACCCTCTCCTTGTGGCATTTAATTTCAGTCTTCCTTTCCCTCTTCATCTTGTAAATGATTCTTAAAGGCAAACAACTGAGGAAACACTCATTCTCATCAATCATCAGATATGGTTCTATTCTCTGACAAAAATCTTCAAAGTACATGTCTACTATTCAAATACTTGCTAGTACCTTCTTGGGCAGTAGAGTTATTCTGCAGTAGTGTCCTGTAGGCACACATGGCAGCAGTGGAATACTAAGTCCTTTTCCTAAGTTGTCTACAAAGGAGTGCTTCAGAATATGCTTGATGGACACTCAAACCACAGGCTAATTTCAGAACAAAATTTCCTTGGTGTCTGACATCTTTCTGTGGTAAATTCACAAAGGTTATCTTTGAATATGAAGGTGAGCTGAATACCAAATTTTGCTCACCTATTTATTTTCCAATAGATAAACCTTTCTTCTGGTTCTTCTGCATGCATTCAAGAATTCAAAAATATTAACTATACTTACTTTTGATATAGTGAAAATATTTCAAAAATAACTGGAACACAATTGATACTTTGGAGATTTTTTTTGAATTGGAGAGCTGTGTCTAGATCTGGAACTTTCAGCAGTTGAAGGAGAGAGAGTTCCTTTTTTGGAGGTGGGTTTTGTTCATTGGTGGGTGGTCCATGTCCTACGGTTTGTCCCCAACCATGCACATATGTGAAGCACTAACTGGACTCTATGGGTTGCATTAAAAGGAAAAAGAATAAGACATGAAACTGGGATCGAGTTGTGTTAGAGAGTGTAGAAGAGAGAGGAAGGGGTTGAGGGTTGATATGATCAAGACACATCATATACATATATGAGAATTTCTAGGAATGGATTTAAAATAATATAGACAAAGATCAGCAGGTTTAACTCTTCTGGCTACCCCTTGCAGGTATAATCTTGAAACAAGCACTCTACAGGGTCTGATAGCGTCCTAGTGGATAAGTTTCTGCTCTGCAGCGATAGCTATACTGAAGGTGCATTCTTTATTGCCTCCCTCCCCTTCCCTTCTCTGGTGAAGTCTTTCCTACTAATATGCCCAGAGATCATCACTAATTAAAGGACTTCTTAAAACTGCTTATTGGATGACCCTAATTAAGACACCTCTTAATTACTTTCTTAATCCTTATGCTCTGGACATCTAATGCTAAAGTAGACAAAGGCTCAGCCTGTGGGTCATTTGGTTAGGAAAACCTAGCTGCTAGTTGAATTCATGGAATCTTAAGGTTTTAGATATCACCTGCAATTATCCATAAATTCTAACCAATTAGTATCTTGACTTGGATGTCTGATAGACATCCCAAGATTTCATTTCCCAAGACAAACTTGATTTTTTTTTCTCCAAGGGTTTGGATACTGAGTATCTTATATTTATATTTATACTGAGTTTCTGCGTCTGACTTTTGCCACCAAGAGGCATGCAAAACTGCCTCTAAACTTCTCACTTGGAGAGAACTCACAGTAGCTAAAATGCCCATGTCTTTCTCCAGAATTCCCAAGACCCAGGTTTAATAAATCTGGGGTCTATTATTCTTATGTCTTCAGATACCAAAACTCATAACTGGTTATTCTTCTCTATACCTACGTTTCTATGTAAACTTCATTGTTACTTCCAAAATTGGACAAGTAGAATTAACTCTATTAAAACACATATCTGCTATGGCCTGATATATCCGGACAAGGTGGGTTATATTTATTATGCATGTTTCTCTCTCTGTCTCTATCTGTCTGTCCCCCCACCCCGCATGCCTGTCTGTCTCAGTACATATCCCTTGAGTGTGCCTCTTTGTACACACAAACAAGTTTATTTTTTCTTATTTTTAAATAAAGCTCAGTGATCATTACTAGAACAAACATTTTTCACAGAGAAGTTTGGGTTTTTAAATAAACTCTTAAAATCTCTTCCAAACTCCAGAAAGAGCTTCCCAAGTGGAGGAAAACAGCGATGCAAATCTGCACGAAGACAAAGAACACAGTGGCATTCATTCTAGGTATTTATTTTTCCTGTGTGATGTTTATCTAGATGACCCACTGAAACGGTTCATCTAGTTTCTGGAAGAATTTTTAAATTTGCGTGAATGTGACAATTGAAAGGAAACAGGTATGATTTTTCAAACAATCTGAACGGAGCCTTTTGTTTCCCTACAAACTTCACTGGCTTAGCTACAATTGTTCTTTTTGCCTAAAACCACAGGAAAAACAAAGCAAACCGAAGCAAAATAGAACAAATCGGAACAGAAGCAGAGACTAGCTTCCTTTCAGGGAGCTCAGATCTGAGCAGTGACTTTGTTCTACTGAGAATGGAAGGGACATGGATCTGAGGAGGACACTCTCTTGATGAAAACAGTCACTTTGTAAGGCCAGGCGCTCTCTGGGCACAAATAAAAACAATGATGACAGCCTGGAGGTCTTATATATGAATGACACTTGCAGTCAAATAATTTTCAAGTCTGTTTTTCCCTCCCCCTCCCTTCTTCCCCTTCTTCCTTCCTTCCCCTTCTTCTTTCCTTCTTTCCTGCCTTCCTCTCTCCCTTCAGTCTGTATAATCTCTTAGTACATACTATATATTAGGAACCACACCGAAAAATAATGAGACAGAAGGAAATTAGATATTTTTCATGTTAGATAAAAACTTGAAGGCTTCAGATCCTACCTTTAAAAAAGGAATTTCTTGTATGTGTGTGCTTCTGTGCATGCGTGTGTGTCTGTGTGTGTATGTGTGTGTCTTTACCTGCAAAGGCTAGAAGAAGGTGTTGCGTCACTTGTGACAGGAGTTGGGGTAGTTGTGAATTCCTAAATGTGAATGCTGGAAACCAAACACAAGTCTTCAGGAAGATCAGCATGTGCTACACCTGCTGAACCATCTTTACAATATCCTGTAATTTTTTTTCTTTTTTTGGTTTATTTTTATTAAAGTCTATGTATCCAAATGTCTCTGTGTATATCTGTATACGTGTGTCCTGGAGTTCAAAGCAGGGTATCAGATTCCCTGAAGCTGAAGTCAGAGGTGTTTGCAAGCTTTCGTACAAAGGCACTGAGATATACAGATGCAGGTCCTCAAGACTGAGCAGCAAGTGCTAGCTCTTAAACACCGAGCTTTCTCTCCAGCCTCCATGTCCTGGGATATAAGCATTAGTGTTCCTGTAGGAACTCTGTGAAAACTCAGTTCCCTTGCACATCAAGTGAAAATCAGAAGGTGTATGGACAAATCGTTCTTGTTAAAAGTAACACTGGATTGTCCCCAGTCTTCTGGCAGAGGTGGCATAAAGCATGATTCATATACAAACTAAAATCAAAAGCACAGTATAAAAGTATATTTATGTATTTGAGAGTATGTATATATGTGCATATATGTAAATATCAGCAATTGATGAAAAGAGGCTGTGACTTTGAGAGAGAAGAAATGGACTATGGGATGGTTAAGAGGGAGGGAAGAAATGATGTAATTATTATAATTTCAAAATATAAAAGAACTAAACAGCACAACAACAAAAACATCAAATAAAACTAGGTGGGAAACAAACAGAAATGCTTCTACTAGTATGCCAGAGATTGAAGCTGATGTTTCTAGAAAGTCAAATTTCTCAAGAAAAGCTTTACCCTAAAGAGACCCCCTTCATTTCAGTGGCTTAGCATGGAACTATCACCAAGGCTGTTGGTGACCAGCAGTTCTTCACGAAGTAGACTTTAATGGCATGCCATCAATGGGCTACGAATATTGAGTCCAACTTCAAAAGGGGCTAAAATGACTAACACTACCTGAACCTGAAACTTGATTCAATTTACTGCCTGATTCTACAATGTGGCCAATTGAAAATTGGATTTTCACTATTATTAATTTTTAAACACTGTAGAAGAATAAGCTAATAACTTTTTCATGTATATTTGAGGACTTTAGCATTGACATGTCAAGAACAAGTAGAGCTTAATTTCAAAATTAATGAGTGAAGCTATTTTAAAATGAAGGTTTTTAAATTGAGTTGTGAACCCAGCTGTTTGAAGGAAGTAAGGTTTATCTCAGCTTGATGAAAATGGGTAACATACATAATAATACAGAATAAGAATTGAAGTCTTCTGCCCATATACACTGATAATGGAGACTATTTGAGACTGTATGAGTTATTTAATAAAGGAAGAGTGTGTTTTTAAATTTTAAGACGTATGGAGCCTAAGTCACTGCCTTATCTTGTTAAATGAATCCTTGTAACCCTTAACTGAAGAAACATAGCAGAATCAGCATCGTTGTAAGAAACTAGTCAAGTGTTAGTGGCCAGATTTGTTTTCATTATTTAATGAGGTGAACTCTGAGTGGGTTTTTCCATCTCACTTTCAGCACTAGCATGCTGTATTACCTGTGTCTATGCTGGTGTAAGGGAGCCATTCCATGCCTATTTGACCTATGCTCAGCAGCTTTGAGAGCTGACCTGAATTTTTTTTTTACATTTTATTCGCATATTTTTTTGCTTTTAGTGTGCTCACAGGAAACTAGAACACCTTCAGCAGAAGTTGAAAAGGAATGTTTGGAAGCAAAGTTAAAACCCCGTTCTATGTCAAACTGGCCAAAGTTCCTCTAGCATTTCCAAAACACGACAGACAAGATGCTACACAAAACCATTGCATCTGAAGATTTGCTTCTCCTTTATTCTCAAAGACAATTAGAAAGAAACGTGTTGAAATTACTTGACAGTGGGAGTATAGAATTCACTGAATTATAATGAGTTCCAATTAATTGTGCACAATCCCTCCTGAACCTGACTTCCTGATGCTATCAAACATGAGAGAAAAGGTCTTTGGCTCTTTTATTTTTCATTTTTGGCTACTGTTTTAAAAAATGGTTATTG